TGTCAAATGTGACTTGCGTGCAAAATTTGAGGTCAATCAGACGTGATTTGATAGGTTTTGGCATCGAAGGTAGAAGTTTGAAGTTCTAAAGTTCATAAAGCTTGAATTGGGGTGTGATTCATGATTTTAGCATTATTTGATGTGATTCGAAGGCTCGACTAAGTTTGTAATGTGTTTTAGGATGTGTTGGTATAGTTGGCTGAGGTCCCGAGGGCCTCGGGTGGATTTCGGATGGTTAACAGATAGAGTTTGGACTTGGAAGAAATGCTGAGGCAGCTGATATCTAGTGCAATTGCACCTGCGTGAAAAGGGCCGCAGGTGCGATCCCGCAGGTGCAGCGATGTGGTCGCAGAAGCGACATTTGGACGGAGCTGGGATGGCCACAGATGCAAGGATGTTTCCGCATCTGCGAGCCCACAGATGCGAGGAAAGCTCCGCAGAAGCGGAATGCGAGCTGGCAGCAGGAGTTGCAGAAGCGGAAAGTCTCCGCATGTGCGAGACCGCATGGGCGCGTTTAGCATCGCAGGTGCGGAGCTGTTCCGGGCAGAGGATATGCGCAAGTGGGATGTTTTGGCCACACTTGTGAGACCGGAGATGTAGCTGATGTACCGCATGTGCGGAAGGTCAGCTGGGCCGATTGATTAAAGAACGTGACTTGGCTCATTTTTCTCCCATTTTTCACTTGGTTGGGCGATTTTGGAGGGTTTCAAGGAGGGATTTTCATCATCTATGTCAAGGTAAGTGATTCCCGTGTATTGTGAGTTAAATACAAGATTTATACATGGATTCAAGCATGAAAATTTATAGAAATTTGAGATTTTGAAGAAAACCTAGAAATTGGTATTCTTGGATTTTGATCACGAATTTGGGCATGAAATTGTGAATAAATTATATATTTGAGTTCGTAGTGCTATGGGTAGTGCTATGGGCCCGAGGGTAATTTTTATCGACTTTTCGAGCGGAGTTGGAAATTGTTGTAAATTGATTTATAATGAGTATTAGAGTATATATTTATAGATTTGCACCTTTATTGACTAGTTTTGGAGTGATGAGCATCATTTTGAGTTGTTGGAAGGGCTTGGGAGTCGGTTATGGAATTTCGGAGCGGGGTAAGTCTCCTTTCTAACCTTGTAAAAGGGAATTAACCCCATAGGTGAATCAAATCATTATGTGCTTCTATTTGTGGGGGATACGTACGCACGAGGTGACGAGAGTCCGTGCGTAGCTACTATTACGCTTATGTCTGGGGTAGTCTAGGACCCATATCATGTTGTACTTGCGATGTTTGCGCCCTACTTGTTAATTTAATTGTCTAAATATTTAAAAACTCGATAAGGGAATTGTAAAAAGGTTAAACTTTATTTACTTGACCGTTAGATGAGAATTTAAAATTCTTGAAATATTTGCCCCTTAATAAATCTTGAATTGGTTGTTTAATGTATTTTTTCCTCTTTTGTGGAGCGGGTCGAACGCCTCGGTAGCAGATAAATGCATCTATGGTTCGTGCCGTTCAACCCTCAGCAGTGCACAGTTTAAATATTATGTTGGATCGGGCCTTACGACCTCGACATAATTTGCGCATGATAAATCTTTGGAATCAATTATAATTGATATTTCTTCTTTGGCTTGAAATATAAATTGTTAAATGACGAGAATAAGTTTAGAAAAATCTCCTATTAATAAAAGAATTGTCCACTAACTTCTTGTTATTGAGTTTACCGATATTTCATACAATCCATGCTTAAGTATAATATCAGTATTTATTGTTAGCCCATAGTAAGTGTCAGAGTCGACCCCTCGTCACTACTTATTCGAGGTTAGATGGGATACTTATTGGGTACGCGTTGATTTACGTACTCATACTACACTTGCTGCACATTTTTTTGCAAGTACATATATGTCTAGTAGCCTCATGGGCGCAGAGGCGCAGTTATCGCGGGGACTTAGGTGAGTTGCATTCTATACTATGATCAACCAGTAGAGTCTCCTTTGGAGTATTTATATTTTTCCTGTCCAATTTGTATTCCGACAGATGTTGTATTTTATTTTACATTCCTAGTTGAGGCTCATGCACTTGTGACACTAGGTTTTAGGGTGATTATGGGTTGTCCTGTATTGAAATTATTAAAAATATTATTATTTACTATGTAAATTCCATATTTTACTATTTAATTGAAGGAAATATGATTTCAAAAATATTAAAAATGAGAACCAAGTCAAGTATTTATTTTTGGCTTGCCTGATAACGGTGTCCGACGCCATCACGACCTTTAATGGATTTTGGGTCGTAACGAAACTCTCAACCATACTAAAAAATAAATCAAACTTAAAACACTATGGAGTTCAACAATGATTCAAACGTAAAAAAAAAAAAGGTACAAACTTATTAATATCATCATAAATTAAATAATCATAATGAAACTTTCTTGTATTTGCAGCTTGTCAGATGAGGCATATGAATGAAAACATATAATATTAGATTAGAAAAATATCAATTAATCAAACTTAAAATAAAAACATAATTAAATTTAACAAGACCAAAAAATAACTAATAATATAAGAAAAGGTAGAGAATAAAACCTTGTATTTCAAGAGATTCACTGTTTGTTGTTGACGATGGCAACAATGAAACCTTTGGGTTTCTTAGGAAAAGAAATAAGATGAGATACTTGTAAAAGATGAATACATATCTTTTAATGATATGTATGATCTTTCCAAAGGACAAAAGGTTCTTTTGGCGGGTAAAAAAATCAAGAAGATGATTTCCGCCATCTTTAATTGCCTTTTCTTGATAAAATTCAGTTGTAGCTTTATTTTGATAAAAGTAAGACACATATTTTAATGTATTAAAAGGAAAAAAAAAGGTGAGAAACTTGGGTTAGTTCTTAACGGTAGAGTTAGGTAAACTTTTACTATTTTAGTTTTTTTTTATTAGTATAAAAGAAATGGATCTCAATCATTAATCATTTTACGGAAAAGGGCCAAAATGCCCTTGAACTATCGGAAATAGCTCAAAAATGCCATTCGTTTATTTTTAGTGCCAAAAATATCCTTGCCGTCTATATTTTGGACCACAAATACCCTTAAACTGTTTAGTCTTGTCATTGAAGGTGACATAACAGTTCAACTGGGTTAGATTTGCTTAAATGGCCATCCACCTAAGCAATCCAACATGGCAAAATTATTTTTTCGAAAAAATTATTTTTCCGAAAATTGTTTTAAAATAGAAAATCAACACTTATTCTGAAAAAAGTAAAAAATATTCTGGAAAAATTATTTTCCGAAAATTTCCGGAAATAAATAATTTTTTCGGGAATTTTTTTATATTTTTCGGAATAAGTATTGATTTTGTATTTTAAAACAAATTCCGAAAAAATATTTTTTCCGGTCCAGAATTTTTTTTACTTTTTTCGGAATAAGTGTTGATTTTGTGTTTTAAAAAAAAATTCGGAAAAATAATTTTGGCATGTTGGATTGCTTAGGTGGATGGCCATGTAAGCAAATCTAACCCAGTTGGACTGCCATGTCACCTTCAATTACAAGACTAACAGTTTAAGGGCATTTGTGGTCCAAAATATAGACGACAGAGATATTTTTGGTACAAAAAAACAGAGGGTATTTTTGAGCTATATCAGATAGTTCAAGGGCAGTTTTGGCCCTTTTTCGATCATTTTATTACTTGACGTAATAATACTTGACTGGATCTTTTTCCAAGTTTCAGTGTCTTGGAAAAGCAGAAAAGGGCAAAAAATGCCCTTGAACTATTTGAAATAGCTCAAAAATGCCCTTCGCTTGTTTTTGGTACCAAAAATATCTCTGCCGTCTATATTTTGGATCACAAATGCCCTTAAACCGTTAGTCTTGCCATTGAAGGTGACATAGCAGTCCAACTGGACTAGATTTGCTTACATGGCCATCCACCTAAGCAATCCAACATGGCAAAATTATTTTTTCAGAAAAATTATTTTTCCGGACTTTTTTTCAAAATACAAAATCAACACTTATTTTTGAAAAAAAGTATAAAAAATTTCAGAAAAAATATTTTTCCTGATGTTTTTTTTACTTTTTCGGAATAAGTGCTGCTTTTGTATTTTAATAAAAAATTTTGAAATAAATAATTTTTCCGAAATTTTTTTACTTTTTTCGAAATAATTGTTGATTTTGTATTTTAATAAAAATTTCCGAAATAAATAACTTTTCCGGAATTTTTTTACTTTTTTCGAAATAATTGTTGATTTTGTATTTTAATAAAAATTTCCGAAATAAATAACTTTTCCGGAATTTTTTTACTTTTTTCGAAATAATTGTTGATTTTGTATTTTAATAAAAATTTCCGAAATAAATAACTTTTCCGGAATTTTTTTACTTTTTTCGGAATAAGTGTTGATTTTATTTTTTTTTAAAAATCGTAAATAAATAATTTTTCGGGACTATTTTACTTTTTTCGGAATAAGTGTTAATTTTATATTTTAAAAAATTTTCCGGAAAAATAATTTTTCTGAAAAAATAATTTTGTCATGTTGGATTGCTTAGGTGGATGACCATGTAAGTAAATCTAGCCTAGTTGGACCGCCATGCCACATTCAATGGCAAAACTAACGGTTTAATGGTATTTGTGGTCCAAAATATACAGACGACAGGATATTTTTGATACCAAAAAAAAAAAACGAAAGGTATTTTTGAGCTATTTCAAATAGTTCAAGGGTATTTTGGTCCTTTTCCGTTGAAAAAAAGGTCATAGTTCAAGGGTTCCTTATGTATTTACCCAAAAGAGAAAGGGGAAAATAATGGAGGGGGGAAAATACATGGAATTAGGGGGAATGCTCCAAAAAGTGAATGCCGTACTTTAAGCGGCTTAATCACGTGGGTTTGCCCATTCGTTTCGGACATTTGTTTTTGCCATCTTTACCCCTCCCTTGTCTCTTTCTATTCTTGTCAGCCTCTGATAAATTTGGTCAAAAACAAAATCTACATCTAGTCTAGTTAAAGCTTCGCAGTAATTATTAAGTGCTTACGTTTCTAAGCTGAGTCAGAAAAATCTCTAACAGTTACTCCACTCTTTCTTCTTTAGAACTCGGAGAAAGAGAGGGACATTTTGATTTTGTCAAACGTCTCGCTATCATCTTTGAACCGCCCACCACTGCAATCTACAATTTTCAATTCTTGATTGCTTTCACATCAGGAGAACCTTACTTCCATTTCTTTATTCTTTTTTCTTTTTTTTTCCCTTTCTTGGAATTAAACAAATTTTCCAGAATTCACTACCTATACCTCATTTGCAGCCAAAGATTCACCTGAGTTGTATTAACTATAGATCAACTAGCTCCACTCTCTGCATTAATGAAGGGTAAGCTTCGCTTTTGCTAAAAAGGGATGACGCTTTTGTGCTTTTAATATCCTGCTCCGGCTCCCTTTTTCTCTTACTTGTCCAATGATGTACTTTTTCACTTTGACTGTATATATTAGGCAGTTCAGAAATAGAAGAATAATCATTTATCTTTCTGCCTGAATCTTTTAACCTTTTGTTCTTTTGGGGGGTGGGAGGGGGCCGCTTTGGATTTAAGGGGCTTGAATTTGCATAAGGTTTTGTGGATTTCAGGGGAATCTAATGATTAATTTGATTCGGTAGTTGCAGTAATTTGCCTTAACTCCGGCTGTGTGAGCTTGCTTACAATTATCAGGATACCAATTAGTTTGTATCCAGTCATGTTAATTCGTTTACTTTAGGTCCTGTGTTTTCTAGGAATCTTTTAGTCTAGAAATTTATATACCTGTTTATAGAGAACTTCTAGTACTACTTGTTATTTGTATTTAGTATAATATTGGACAATTATGATAATTCTTATAGCCCATGCCAACTTGGTTACTTCCTTGGAATTGAAGGGTAGTTGTTGTTTGTTGTATTTGCAGTAATTGGCCCTTCACCCTTTCAGTGGTCCTGGCTTTTAGAGTACTGACTGTGGACTATAAGTTCTCTGGACTACAAAACAAATGACCACAACTCCAGAGACCATGCGCTTAGCTTAGTATCTTTATTTCCACAGAACTGCTTTACTTTCCAACAACAACAACAACAAACCCAATAGTTTCCCACAAGTGGGGTCTGGGAAGGATAAGATGTACGCAGCCTTACCCCTACCATAGGAGGCAACTGCTTTACTTTCCACGAAGATAAAAGTAGGGCATATGGTTTAATTTTGGGTATATAGGTGTAACTTTGAATTAATGTCTCTGTCTTAATGTTGGACACAAACCCTTTAAATTTTTTCAAATTAGTTAGGTTTAGTGGTTTATTATCTGAATATTTTATGGAACTGCACAGGTTGGACTCTAGAACGTTGTAAAACTTTTTCAAAATAATATTAGGTCTGATGGTTTATTATCTCATACTACTTGAAGTGTCTCATCCACCTGGACAGGAAGACAAGTCCAAGATTCAGATAAGTATAGGAGCTATAATGTGGCCTGCACTTTACCATAATTAAAAATCATGAGGAAACACAATACTTCATTGAGGAATTCAGGTACGTATACTAGTCCATCAACACCAGAATATGGAGATAACCATTTCGAAGGATTTCAGAAAGGCTGGAGTTCCGAGCGAGTACCAGTGCCAAACAACAGCAGCAGGAGGCATATTAGTGCTACTGCATTGATGCCATTCAATAGTGGAAGGGCATTGCCTTCAAAATGGGATGACGCAGAAAGGTGGATTACTAGTCCAGTATCAGGTCACGGTATTCCCAAAACTTCAACCGTGCAATCCCCGAGGCAGCCTAAGTCAAAGAGTGGACCTCTGGGGTCTCACTTTTCACCCTCTGTCCCAGTCCAAGAAGGTGGAAGTACAAGTAATTTTATAGCAAATTCACCATTTACAACAGGTGTACTGGTGCCTGATGGTTTATCCATTCATTATGGTCCGGGCACTAGTGCAAGATCTAGTGCTTTATATGGTGAGAATGGCATGGCTCGAGCAAGCACTGCTCCTGGTCTATCAGACTTTTTTACTGAATCTTCTTTACCAAGCTCCGAAGGTATGATTTTCCTCCTCTTTGCATATATTGTGCTACTTTCTTCTGGTTCATATCCCAATTTTCAGTACTGGTCTGTTGCCATATTAAAACATTCATCTCCAATTATATGTTAATGCATCATTTTATACCATAATTCTACTACTAAGACTGTTTGATTTTCCATTGTTTATCAAGTAGCACCATCAATATCTTCCCTCAGTGTTATCAGCACAAGAACCTCAACGGTTCTATGGTCTCTGTACGAGGGTAAGATTGTATAGTTTTACCTGACTTATACTAAGCATTTGAGGGTATATGGTTCTTGGTGAAGCTTGCATCTGGTCTTCAGATCATATCTTAACACGAGGAATTAGAACTTCGTGTACTTAAGAATTGTGATTAGGCACTTAGTCTGTGACCTATGGATCTTCTAACTAGCGGGAATGCTTCCTTGCTTTGATACAAAATTCATTTGATGCACCATCTTAATCAAAGATAAGGAACACTTGTCAGAGTGTGCTAGCAAGAGATAATACCATGTCATTTGAATGCAAAATATAAGTAGATATGAATTGGAAATTGTATGGTACCAAAGAAGGAAGTCTTTTTAAATTAATTGTCAAAAAGAAAAACGGGTAGGGGGCAAGTTGAGTTTCCCAAGAGCTGATTTGGCTAAAACAGCGTATGTAAGCCTACAGATAATGTGCTATCTCCATCTACAGAGATTTCAAATCAGGTTAATTTAGGCATTTAGACAAAATAATATGTCTAGTAGTCTTCATCCTTTTTCGAAATAGGACCTTGTAGCAGTTACTCATGCTTCTTAACACCGCACACGCAGCCCTCCTGATTTCCACTATTTGAACAAGTCATGTAGGTATTCTTCTTTTTACAAGTAAACTGCCATTATTCAATTTAAATTGTATTGTGCAATCACCTAGACCAAAGTATATATTGAAAGAAAAATGTATTCTTGGTAAAGTATAATGCATTAATCTGTTTTTGCTGATGGAATATAATTGCCAGATGATAAACATGATGGCACCAACGAAACAGATGCTATTTCCTGTGTAGTTTCACGTAGAGACATGGCAACGCAAATGAGCCCGGATGGAAGTACACATTCCTCTCCCAGAAGAAGATCGCCTTCAATCCTTTCCGTAGAGGAACCAAATAATCAGCATTCTGCTAAAATTGAGATTAGAGATGTACAGGTAGACAAAGGAACCCCCATATCCGGACAATCTCAGGAAAACGGGGTAAGGAGAACGAGGAAAGACTTAAAAGATGCGAGTGACTCAAATTCGCGGTGGGATGTTACGGATGCAGCAAGGAGCATGTCAAAGTATGCTGTCATTTCATGCTTTTGATACTTACATCGTGTAAAATGTATCCATCCTGACTTCAGGAAATGACAACCAGCACATCCTTGATGTTAATTTACTGTTTTTGCAAGTTTATCAAACAATTTAGACAGCTAGCCTATATATAAGATGGAGTAACGCATATTCTTGCTGATACCTATATTTCAAAATAACAAAAAGCTCTGTATATTGTCCTCCTACTCTAATATATTATGGTATGGTCACTGAATTTTACAAACTAGAAGTCTAGAACAGTAAAGTCACAAAACTATTTTGTTGTCGCATTAAAGTAGCTGAACTCGCTATAATCGTAAAGTAATGAAGCTATCAACTATGACAGTAAATTCATGACTTTACTCTTACAGGCTAATGTGACAAAAAAATAGTTTTATGACTTCGCTGTTGTAGTAGTTGAAGTTGGGATATGCATGGAAGAAGTACATTGATGTTTCTTTATTCCTGTATTTGCAGGCAGCAAAGAGAGGAAGCCAGGATTACAGCTTGGGAGAACTTGCAGAAGGCTAAAGCTGAAGCAGCAATCCAGAAGCTTGAGGTCTCTCGGAACTTCTGATGCATAATTGTCTATCTACAGATTCCTACTTGTCTTTGAATAGTGCAAAACTGACTCAACTTCTTCTATTTTGGTTCTCAGATGAAACTAGCAAAGAGGAGGTCAGCATCTATGGATAAGATTATGAACAAGCTTAGACTTTCTCAGTTGAAGGCTCAAACGATGAGACGTGCAATAACAGAAGGTCGTCGAAGAACTTCAAAAAAACTCTTCCCTTTTCAGAAGTATTTCAAGATTGGCTCTTTCAGCAGTTGCTTTTACTGCAGTGTCCATTAGTTGGACGATATCGTTTCTTTTATATTGCTTACAGAAAGCAGAGCGCGATTTATATATGGTTCTCGTCAAAGCTTGGAGGATATTTCATTCTTGGTGATCAAAGGAGTTAAAGATGTCATATGTCATAGAATTCAGTTTTGACCAACATGTTGCTATATATTCAAAGAGAAACACCTGTCTTTGTGGAATTTTGTAAAACTATTTTTGTAAATGGTTATAAAACAGATAGCAATGAGGAACTGAATACATATCCAGAAAGGTCAAATTGGAGAGGTATTGTACCAATATAGCAAACTAGCAGCAACATATTGAGATACACATCTTGATTTATAGTATGTAGACTTTTAAAAAGGTTAAAAGAAAATAATTAACAATGCTAAGGAGAGAAAATAATTTATTGAATGCTGAAGAGTAGGCCCCAAGAAGTTTATAGTGTCTATTATGTTTGGTGTTTGAACAGTAAAGTTGATGCTAAAGTTGGGGCATCTGTCCAGCTTTAGGAGGGTTTCTGTTTTTGCTTAGTAAATATTTTCTCTTGATAATATAAGTCTCGATTTGACTTTTCGATTTATTGGTTCTATTTGCACACCCCTGTATATAACATAATAAAAAATATATAGTCTCCTAAAAATCTTCTTAGAAGTCAAGGTTTTCTTGGAACAGGAGAAGCATTCAATCGATTTATAAATAGAGTTATCGAGCAACTATGACAACAGCAGCGCCCATGGCCTAATGGATAAGGCGCTTGACTTCTAATCAAGCGATTGTGGGTTCGAGTCCCACTGGGCGTGTATAATTTTTGAATACTTTTTTATATCGCATTTTTTGTAAACTAGAAAAATTTCACGACTTTTTGTATTTTTCAGTTTCAATAATATACTTCCCATAAATAGATAGACGACCCATTTAACCAAATTCGCTGCAGTGGGTTTTCCCGGATCCGACTCCACTCTTTCAAGTTCCAAGAAACACCCCTTAAACCCCTCAATTTCATGCCTAAAAAGACCTTTATCTTTCATGGCGTTTCTGAAAGTAGTTTAAAAATGGCAGTTTCTTATACACAGTTTTCGAGTGTATCTGCACAACCTTAGTTCCCTGCTATGATGTTTCTCAAACTTATTCTCCGGCCACCAATGGCTTTCAGGCGACCCACATCACATAAAGAGACTTTTATTTCTCAACAGTTCGTTTTCTGCTGCGTACATAAGTTTAGAATTACACGCACTAATAAAGTTAGCTTTTTTTGATTGCTTAGCTCGTACATTTGTGTTTCTTGAATATTTAATCATGGATATGACTTTATGTTTAAAGTATTGGATGCTAGACAATTAGTGGAACATTTATGTGCGTTGCAATTTTTTAGTGTCTGCTGGAGTTACTCTTTGCTAGTATTGCTGTAGTAATAGGAGTGAAAAATCTAATTTTTGCTTTACTAGATAGCACCACCTTGACAAAATAGCACGACTTTGGCAAATGATCATACAACGGAAAGCTCAAGTTTCAAATATCTCGAAAGCAGCATTGATGATAGGTTAATCTGTTTTTTTTGCTGAAAGGGGTTTTTTGATTATTTTTATTTTTTACTTTTTTGTATTTCTTAGCAAGAGATAAAAAGGGAAATGTATTTTAATTGCTCTTTGATGGATGGAGGTTGATAAGCTGAACTCTCGTATATTTGCCATGTAAAGTTTGCCTGCAATATTCTCGGCCTAGTTTCACTGATGTCATTGAACTATCTTTCAATTTCAATAAAGTCATATAACTATTTTTTATCACTTAAAAGTAACTAAACTTTATCATTGTCACTTAAAAGTCATTTTGCCTCAAACCCCTACCATAAATATGACGTGACATTAAATTTTATTATAAAAATCCAAAAATAAATGCCACATAAGCTAATATGGGTCATACCCATTTTAGATCCATTTATCCTTTAATGTGATTTGATCCATAATCCAAATGAATTTCGATAAAAAAAATATATTAATTCCACATTAGTTTAAAATGATTATCCTATACTACAAAGTTTGGCCTTTTCTGTCACATCACATTCATAATTATTCTATACTAAAATAATCTATGCTAAAACATTCTTATTTTGTTTGTATGCCCCATCCGAGTCATTCATAATTATTCTATACTAAAATAATTATGCTAGAAAATTCTTATTTTGTTTGTATGCCCCATCCGAGTCATTTTAAAATACTATTGTATACAATACTATTTTAGCTTCAGTAGAGTTATACAATGACTCAGATGGGGCATACAAACAAGATACGAATTTTTTAGCATAGATTATTTTAGTATAGAATAATTATGAATGTGATGTGACTGAAAAAGCAAAATTTTGTAGTATAGGATAATCATTTTAAACTAATGTGGAATTAATATATTTTTTTATCGAAATTCATTTGGATTATAGATCAAATCACATTAAAGGATAAATGGATCTAAAATGGGTATGACCCATATTAGCTTATGTGACATTTATTTTTGAATTTTTATCATAAAATTTAATGCCACGTCATATTTATGGTAGGGGTTTGAGGCAAAATGACTTTTAAGTGACAATGATAAAGTTTAGTTACTTTTAAGTGACAAAAAATAGTTATATGACTTTAGTGAAATTGAAAGATAGTTCAATGACCATCAGTAAAATTAACCCCAATATTCTCATATCCATGTTGAGTTTACCACCGGGAGACTTAGAGCCCGTTTGAATTAACTGATTGTAAATATCTGATAAGCGTGAAGTGCTAAAGTATTTTTAACAGCTGAAACTGATTTTTTAAATAAACATTTATGTGTTTGAATAGACGTGCTGAAACTAATAATTAGCAGTTGATGTGTTTGGTGTAAAAGTGCTGATAAACTATTTTTTTGTTAAAATGACTAAAATACCCTTAAAACTTTACAAAAGATTACTATAAATTAATAAGTTTATTTGTAAAGAAAATGATGAATTACTAATATGGAATAAAGAGAAAGTTAGAAAATTTATTTTTGAAAAAATATTTTTGCGAATTAAAATATTACTAAGGATAAATTAGTAAAAGCCTTGGTCAAACTAAAAAGTGCTTATAAGCTGAAAAGCCATAAGTTAGGGGTGACCAACTTATGACATATGACTGATTTTAGCTTATTTTGGATATTTACCAAACGCGTAGATAAGCCATAAAATACTTATAAGCCGGTGTGACCAACTATAGGCTTATAAACACTCCAAACACCCTCTTATTTAATTCATCTATTTTCTGACGTTTGATCTTATTTTAGTCATCTGTCCCTATGTTATTTGTATTGAAACCAAGCTACTGTATTCATTCCATATTTTACATCTAAATGGGAAGATACATTTAATTTAGTTCCTTTTTGGTTTGACAAACCAATTTCAGAATGTTTGTAGTCCTCCATTTAGTGACTGTTTGTTGTCCAGTGTCCACTAATAGTCTACTATTACTACTATTGTTGTTTATTTTTCTGTTGTCGTTGTTTTGGTTCTTTCTCTTGTTTTTATTGCTCTAAGTTTATTGTTGTTATTCAATTTTTCCTGGCTTGCTTCTTTTCTCCTGTTATTCACTCAATCTGGATGACAGTCGCCTTCTATCTTGGCACGACAGTTGACCAAGTCTAATATGTGCATTTTGAGCACCAGATCACGGGACACGTCCAATTGCAAGACCTAGAATAGCCTGCAATATGAACGTAGCAGCTGGACAATCTGATGAACCTCACAAATTTAACTTGGAGAACATAATAGACCGGACAAGGAAATTGTGGGACAACACTCCTACACCTGTGAAGAATTGTTTCCCTTGGAATAGAGCACTGGACAATTTCGTTCAACTTATTCTTGACATTGTTTTGACAGTTACCAAATACTTGTATGTACCGGTGCTTGTAGTTACCTCAATCATTGAGTTGTCTTACTGTGCACATGAAAGGAAGCTTTATATCACCCTGTTTCCTTTTCTTTTTGGTGTTGCTATTGCTGGCATCTTAAAGTCCGCAGCTATGGAGTCATCTCCATATCTCAAGGTGATCTTTTTTGCTTTACATAGTTCATGAAATTCTAGCAGAAGGCTGTCGATACTTAAATTCCATGTTGCCGATACAGTTTTGTTCCATGTAAATAATATATCCAGCATTACCAATTAAGTGCACCTATTAGATAATTTCTCAAGGAAAAATTAGTTCATCTATTTGATTGCCTCTGGAGTGTCATTGCCTCCTAGTTGCTAAAACTTGGAAACGAGATAGATGAAAAATTTGCTATTAATTTCTACAATAAGGGACTCTACCATCTCTATGTTATTCTGTTTTCCTATCCTTGTTTCTTTTTTTTCCCCAATTCAACTTGTCTCTGTTTGGCTTTTTGCAGTTGTGGACAGAAGTTTGTGCTACATGTCTAGAATTGATCTGCTTCTTTGTCCAAGAAGAAAATAACATGAATGAATTCTGGTTGTATTCTGACATGTTTCTGCTCTGTTTAGAATGCTAGAATGCAGAAGTTCCTTTGCATTTGATTGCCATTGGCCATTTGGCCTTTTCTTCACTCTGCTAAAGTTGCCGGGACCGTATTATCCATATTGGGGTCGAATTTTTATTCCATACTTTGCAAATGGGGCATTGTTTAGAACTCTGTGTCTTGCTTTCCGCTGGTACAGAAGGCCTAGGAAGTCATTAGAAAAGGCCATGCCTGATTCTGTTAGGATCGGGAACTCGGGTAGTGCGAAATTTAGCCAAACAACGGTTTAATGACAATAACAAAGATAATGGAAGTTGATAATAATGGCAATTAAAGAAGATAAAGAAAACACAAATTTAACGTGGTTCGATCAAGGTGACCTACGTCCACAAGCGGAAATAAGTAATTTCACTATACCAACAAGAGTACAAAAGAGAGTACAAAATTAGAGTAAATACTCTAATTAATCCCAAATACCCCAAGAGAATAACCTCACAAGATCACTCCAAAGAAAGGGTTCACACAAGTGTTTTCCAACACTCATTCTCTTACAAAATACTCTATAATGAAATAAATGAGGAGAAAGAAAGACAAGAGTGAAAAACTCTTGAATTGGTGTATTTTCAAATGAAGAGAAACTCCTTTATTTATAGCAAGAAATCCTTGGCCTATTAATGGATATTATGTCATGGCAAATGTCATGATCCACAAATTTGTTATAATGGATATTATGTCATGGCAAATGTCATGAACCACAAATTTGTTATAATGGATATTATGTCATGGCAAATGTCATGAAAATTTGACCATATTACAAATCTCCACCTTGGCATAATTTCGGCTTATATATAGTAAATTTGCTCCACCTGCTCCGCAAAAACCCCAATGGGCAAAATCATTCTTCATAAATGCCAATCAAGATCAGGCAAAGCTTGAACTTGGATACTGGAAGAGGTTTTTTGAACATGTCAGCAGGATTGTCTCTAGTGTTGATCTTCTGAACAAAGACTTTTCTTTCAGCAATGGTTTCTCGGATGAAATGATACTTTATATCAATGTGCTTCGTCCTCTCATGATACATTTGATCTTTAGTCAAGTGAATGGCACTTTGACTATCACAGAAAATGGTAATACCACCTTGGTGTAAACTGAGTTCCGCAAATAGACCCTTCAACCATAAAGCTTCTTTGATCGCCTCGGTCACTGCCATATATTCTGCTTCGGTAGTAGATAAAGCTACTACATGTTGTAATGTAGCTTTCCAACTAATAGCGCAACCACCGATGCAAAATACATAGCCTGTCAGTGATCTTCTTTTGTCAAGATCACCTGCATAATCTGAGTCTACAAAACCAACCAAAGTGTTAGTATTTCTCCCAAACTCCAAACATGTGTTTGAAGTACCTCGCAAGTATCTGAGAATCCATTTCACAGCATGCCAATGTGCTTTACCAAGGCAAGTCATATACCGGCTTACCACGCTCACTGCTTGTGAAATGTCTGGACGTGTACAAATCATTGCATACATAATACTACCGACTGTACTGGAATAAGGAACCTGTGCCATGTACCTCTCTTCTTCCTCTGACTGCGGTAACTGAGCAACTGATAACTTAAAATGAGCAGCAAGAGGGGTACTAACTGGTTTAGTATCTTTCATGCCAAACCTCTTCAAGACTTTCTCCAAGTACTTCTTCTGGGTCAGAAATAGCCTGTTGGCTTTTCGATCTCTT